AAAGTCCTTATTCTATAGATGAGTATATCTTAGATTTTCCCCCCTTATATACTTTTATTTACCTGGAGAAGGATGTTTTAGGGTGGAGGGCGCTGGTTTGCTCTCTCTTTAGCTGGCAGAATGGCATGTCTGTTATCCTCACATCCTATTTTTGTAGACATAGTAGCCATGCTGGGGGTAGGGGGAGTGCAGTCAGAGCTGGTGTGGCAGTTTTGCCCTTCGACATCCTGGGCTCTGTTATTTGCTGCTTCAAGTGAACCAGAGAAATAGCCCTTTGCAGCCTGACAGAGCCTCCAAAGCTCTGGAATTTTCCTCTACATCAACAACACTGAATGTTTTTTAGCATTAGAACGTGTTATAATTTGAATGAATTTTGACTACGCTTTGGCTTTGGAGAGGAATCCTTTCAAGGAGATACAGGCACTTTTTGAGTTAAAAGTTCTAAAATGCATGTTGTATGTATACCAGTAAGTTTAGCCAGGTAGGAAAATTTTATGTAACCAGTGACAGTTCGTTTATTTTTGTATGAATTTTGTTTAGGCTGCAATGTTTAGCTTTTATTAACTCTGTATTCTTGTTATCTTAAATTCCTTACTATGTTTAATGGCCTACTTGCCAAGATACTTTTTTTGTTTGTTTTAAACAGCTTTATAGTGAAGCTGGGACTTACCATAAAGAAGTTGAGCAGCAGGCCTGGTATGCTGTGACTTGTTAGATGTCTCGTTATGTAAAGCTATTGCCAGAATCTTAGTAAATATAATATTTTAAAAATTGTCTCTCTATATTCATAACAGATTATGAAAAATTAAGTGAAAATTACATTATTGCCCTCCCTCTGTCATATTACTAAGATTTTGCACCTCACATCTACTGCTAAATGATTTACTAGTAACATTAAAAGGAACTGATAAATCATTTCACTTTACATTTTTATTTAATCAAGTAACATGAAATATGATTGGATGTACAATTTTCTTGTTATACAGGGTATGCTAATTATAGTGGCATGTGCACAAAATGTTTTGGCATGGTAAGAAGCTGAATGAATAGCTATTTTACTTAAAAAATAAAAAATTAAAATTAAGAAAAACATAAAAAACCCACCCCTGTAGTTTGTATCTTTTGAGAGACAAGGTATTGAGTTCCTGAAACAGTCTGCAATGAAAAAGTATTACTTATGAACAATAAAGAGATAATAGAGACGAAAAATATGATGCACAAAAGGAATGTCTGATAAAGAGACAGATGATATAGACAAAATGTCCAAAAACTAGTACTAAAAGAAATGGATTATGGAAGAAGGAAAAAAGATTAGTTTGAAAGAGTCAGCATTCAAACTGTAAGAATTTCAGAAAAATAGAGAGAATAGAAAGAAGAAAGTCATTTGAAGAAATTACTCATAAATGAAGAACACAAGCACTCGGATTTGAAAGGGCCCAGTGATGCCTAGTACAGAGTGAAGGGGGCCTAGATCAAGGCCTGATGTAGTAAAATAATGAGAGTAAAGAAAACACATAGTTTAAACAACAAAAAACACGAAAAAACCCAAATCAAAATGGCATCAGAGTTCTCAAGAAGAACACTGGTAGCCAGAAGGCATTATGACAATGTCTTCAATATTGTGAGAAAAAAGAATCTGCAGCTTCGAATTATATACTTAGTTACTAAATAGGTTGCAGGCAGAATAAAAACAAATTTTAGGTATGTGTGATGGTTAATTTTATATGTCAGCTTGGTTGGGCCACAGTGCCCTATATGCTGCCAAACATTATTCTGAAAGTTTCTGTGAGGGGGGTTTAAAATTAAATCAGTGCACTCTGAGTAAAGCTGGTAGCCTTCCTTGGACATGTGGGTGGGCCTCATCCAGTCAGCTGATGATCTGAACAGAACAAAAGACTGACCTCCCCTGAGCAAGAGGGAATTCCGCAGCACATGGTTGGCTTTTCGACTTGAACTACAACATTGGCTCCTTCCTGGGTCTCCAGCCTGACAAAGCTTGGACTTGAACTGCAGCATTAACTCTTCTCTGAGTCTCTGTCTAGACTACCTTGGAACTTGGACTTGCTAGCCTCCATAATCAGGTGAGCCAATTTCTTAAAATAGATCTCTCTCTATATATACACACACTTACTATTGGCTATGTTTCTCTAGAGAATCCTAATAAACAATTTATCAAAAATTTCACTTTCTGTGTGCCCTTTTTGGGAAGCCCCAGAAGAATACATTGTACCCAACCATGAGGGTAAACAAGGAAAGAGAAAGATACTGCATCTGAGACATAAGGGGCTCAACAGAGGCGAGTACATAACGGAATTCCCAGGCCAAAGGGGAAGGAAGTGTCCATGATGAGGCAGCTGTTCCACAATCCAGAAAACTACTAGTTCATCAGGAATAGAGGTGAGGGCTCCAGAGAAGATGTCTAAGACAGAGAGCAAGAGAGACAGGGATGAAGGAGAAAGAAACTCATAGACAATGGAAGATTTGATTGTTTTGAGAGGTGGAGAGTTTAGGGAAAAAATTTGGATAGATACATAGAAAGTAAGCAACTGACAAAAAGGATAATGACCTCCTGAGAATATGAAAAGCAAAGTAAGCAAGTATAAGTAATCACAGTATATGACATGGTCAGGTCAGCGGTTATATGGTAAACATCACATTATAATCTTACCAAAACTTATGATTGAGAAATTGGAAAAACAGGGAAATGGGAAATGAGGAAAATGATCTTTCAATGTAGAAAGTCCATAGGTAGTAAAATTTAGAAAATCAAGTTTTGGTATAAGGTTTTTTCAGTTTTGGTTTGATTTGTGTTGTTTTTTGAGAAATGAAAGCAAATACTAGGAGAAAAAAGCTAAAAAAAAATAGCTACAGGAATTGAAGCTGGTTGCCTCCTACAAATAACAACTGAATGTCTGTAGAGACAGGACAGAAAATACCCTTTATAAAATGTTAAGTCTCCTAGAATTATTTTAATCTTTTAATAAAGATAAAATAAAAGATATCTTTTAAAAAGATAAAATCTTTTTATAAAAATAAAGCTAATATATAAAATTATAATTAATTGGAAAAATAAGAAAAGCAACTTTTATTACACACGCTGCCATGGTGTTATCTTAAAGAAAAAGGCAAGAGTCTATTTCTGTCCTGCTTGCTGTCCCAATTCTGTAACTTCTTTAGTCTTAAAATAGAATGTTTGGGTTCAATGATAAGATCACACATTTAAAAATATTTTTTGGAAAGAAGATCATTAGGAAACTGTGTCCACATTCATGTAGAGTGGATATTACACACATGCTTCTTTATCCATTGACTGTTCGAATTTAACAATGCAGAAATTTTTAAAAAGTGGACAGTGGCCCACTGGTCAGATCTAACTTGCAGATATGATTATACACTTGCATAGTTTTCTAGAAAAAATTAAAAATTATTAACTGTATGTAACATGTGGCTGCTTTAGCATAAAAATTGTAACCACTGGATTCTCCTAGAGAATTTTAAGAGTGACCACTCTGGGTCCACATTCCCTCATAGCCACACTGGCAGAAGCTGAACGGACTGGGTAAATTAATCTTTACCCACATGCCATCATATAAAAAGTAATGAAGCTCTTTCTGCAATGAAAAATACACAGAAACATTTATTAATATAGAAAAAAACCGTGAAGATATAGAGTATTGCATGTAGTATGCTACCTTTGGTAACAAAAGAAAATATTTAAGTTTATATATCTACTGAGATGTGCGCAAAATAGCTCTGCGAGCACACACAAGCAAAAGATAACATCTGAAGCCAGGATGTGGTATCTGGGACACAGGATGAAGGGAAATCCTTTCGACTTTTCTAACTGTTGAATACTGAACTATGTGAATATACCTTCAAAAAAAAAAAAAATAGAAGTACTTTAAAAATATCAGAATTTCTTAGCTTCAGAAAATAAATAGGTATATATAATGTATGAATATGAGTATATAACTCTAGGAATATATATTTATATATAGCATATACTCTTTATACTATATATTCATATATTCATATGAATATGTAAACGTTTTTGCCCCTCCTGATTAAATGTTTTATTCTCATTCCACCTTTAGATGACTGGGGATATACAAAATTAATTCTGTCTTGCACTTAAGATTTCCGTTCTTTTTTGGATGTTTATATGCACTGCCTAAGAGATTGCTTCCATGTCGATACAATTATATCACCCAAAGAAATATTAGAGACACCAAATTACTGAATCTACAGTGTTAATTCCTGAGAGACTAAGAGTTAAAAATACTATTTTCAAAGATAAATATAAATCAATTTAATAATCTAATGAAAGAATTTTTAGTATTCCCTCTACTTGCATTCAAGTATATCTGTTATACCAGAGTACCAATTATTTCTTTCCCACTTGTATGTATATTGATAACTAGAAGGCCTCTTTTGACTGAGATGCTCAAAGATGTCATACAGAATGGTGATCTCAGTTCCCTTCCACTTATGTTTGACCTTTTCCTAATCCTTTTCATTCTTTGATTTCAATTCCAAGTAAAGGGAACTCTTGCATATTTCAAAGGGAAGGGAGGGGCTGGACCTTCTGAACCTACTGAATCACTCTTCTTTTACGGACATAAGCCCAGAAGTTGGGCAGCAGTGAGAGCCATGCACACAAGTACTTTCCAGGGACCAATGATAAGGGGGCTGAACGACGCAGCCATCTGCCCAGTGAACTGGAGTCTCACTGCAGGACTAGAGCAGATCCCAGGGCAAGGAGCACGGACAGGAGTAGGTCATGGGGAGGGCCCATCCTGGCAGACCATGTGAAGGGCTCCATAGAAAAAAGTAGATAAAGAAGAAATGAAGCTACAGAGTTCATCTTCACCTAATTCTCCGATTTGCTTGTCCCATATGGCAAGGTTAAGGTCTTTATTTTTAATTTTTATTTCTTCCATGAAAAAAAAATCAAAGAATAAAGAAGCAAAGCAATATTTATCTGAATGGGATGACGACTTACAAAACTGACATGACAGTGACGACAGCTAAACTGCTTTTCTGAAATTTTAGGTTCATAACATATTTTTCTTGATGAAATGAGAGTGTCATAATAATATTTTTAAGTAAATAGCTATTGTGGACAATAACTTTACTATTTTAACACTTGATGTATCAGTGAATATGAACAGCAAAGTATTGCCAGAAACAGATGCTCAGAACTGTTCAGTGTGCTTACAGCATCTTTTAAAATCAAAGTTGTAAAGGAGACATGTGAGCATACAGACACTATTAAAGTATGCCGAGTCATTAAAGATTAGTAGAGCCAGTATCTTTTCCTTACCTCTTACCTTCTTTTTTGAACTTTTAAACTTCTATCCAATAAGATGTTGCTGTAGACTAGTACAATTTCTGTCCTAGATGGAGCATAACACAGTGGTTATTTAACAATGCAGGTTCAGGAGAAAGCCTCCCCAGGCCTGATTTTAGCATCACCACTTACTTAGCTCTGTGGCCTTGGGAAATATTCTCCTTCAGCCTCTCAGGGGTGGTTTCCTCAGCTGGGAAGTAGGGATGAAAATAGTAAGTACCTAATAGATTTATTAGAAGAATTCAGTGTGGTAACAACTAAAAGAATTTAAAATGGTATATTGTCATCACTTAACACATATTGGACATCATTATTCCAACTGCACCCAGAAGAGTTCTTTAATTTTTGTGGTGTACTTTACAGCAAAGTTGTGCCCAACTTCCTGCCTTCTGGAGGGCAGAATTGAGATGAAGCTGAAAAAAAAAAAAAGAAAGAAAGAGTTAATCTGCTACTTTATGGCCATTGTGATGAAAGAACAATTCGCCTCCATAGAAAACTTTTGTGGCTGACAAAATTCTAATGTCAGAGTTTTTATGGAAAAGATCCCTTTTACAGAAGTGGTATTGATTTTGCTTCTTTAAGAAATGTTGCTTCTATGTACCATGAGGATTTTTGGTTATATTGATCCTGCAATAACATGAACAGTTCAGAGCTAGCGTAAAATAGTTGCTGGCAAGCAAGAAAAGTTGTCATTTTGTAGACTAGCTAGGCTTACTCATTATTTGAGTAGGAGCCCTATTCTTTTGTGACATCTTAAACAAAGCAGACTAACATGGACATTATTTTGTCAAATAATTTTAATGCTCCAGTGTCACTCTCCTTTAATCCTAGAAGTCCTATTGTCTCATGTGTGTTGGTTCAATTTTTTTTCAATCTTTTTCTTTTTGCTCTTCTGTTTGGATAAATTTCTAGTGGTTTATGGATTCTTTTTTTTATAATCAGTTATTAAGGCCAGTCAGTAACTTTTTCCCATTATATAATGTACTTTTTAGTTCTAGAATTTCTATTTTGTTCTTTTTATTTATTTATTTATTTATTTAAATTTATTTCTAGGAGAGAGAGAGACAGCATGAGCAGGGGAGAGTCAGAGAGAGAGGGAGTCACAGCCTGAAACAGGCTCCAGGCTCTGAGCTGGCAGTCAGCACAGAGCCCGACGCGGGGCTCGAACCCACGAACCGTGAGATCATGACCTAAGCGAAAGTCGGACGCCCAAGCGACTAAGCCACCCAGGCACACCATATTTTGTTCTTTTTAAATAGAGTCTATTTCTAGGGGCGCCTGGGTGCCTCAGTCGGTTAAGCGTCTGACCTTGGCTCAGGCTGTGATCTCAAGCCCTGTGTCAGGCTCTGTCCTGACAGCCTGGAGCTGCTTCTGATTCTGTGTGTCTCTCCTTCTGCCCCTCCCCCACTCACGCTCTGTCTCTTTCTCTCAAAATAAAATAAAATAAAATATTAAAAATTTTTTGAAATTAAGAAATAGATTCTATTCGCTTAAATTTTAAATGTGTTTATCTATTACAAATATATTTTCCTTAATATCCTTGCACATAGTTAAAATAACTGCTTTAAAATCATTGTCTGCCAATTTCAATATCTGGGTCAACTCTGATCAGAATCCATTGAAAGTATTTTCTCTTGAGCATGGATCATGTTTTCCTCTTTCTTCATATGTCTCATAATTTTAGATAATACCCTGGACATTATAAACTGAAAAAACTCTGGTTTGTGTTTTATTCCTTTGAAAAGTATTCATATTGTTGTTTCAACAAGCAGTTAACTTGACTGAGCTAAATCTCCAAACTTTGTAATTCCTACATGGGAAATGAGCAAACACCAATTGTGCATGCATAGTTCAGGGAATCAGCCATAATTTGGGACAAATTTTGGACACAGAATTTAGAATTCTTTCCTGTATTTCTCCCCTTTTTTGAATTCTTTCCTCATTTTCCAGTTGCTATGGCCACACCAAATTCTGTCTTCTGGATTTCTCAGCTATTAAGACTGTGGGTTTTTATTGAAGCTTTAGTTACCTTTCTTGGAGTTTATTGGAGTTTGCCCTCAGACAAAAATACGCATAAAAATTAAAATGTTACAATAAAACAAGTATAAAAAATGAAAAACTAGAGCTCTAGTTCAACATAGAAGGTGACATAGAAGGATCTTGAATTCACCTCTTCCCACAAACACATTGAATTTAAAGCTAAATGTGGAACAATTTTCTATGAAAACATCTACAAGTTAGCTGATTGACACTTATGTACAGGGTGAATGAGAAAAAGCCCTCATTCAAAGTGGGTAGAAGAAACTGAGATACAATCTTTGTTTCTTTTTTAATTTAAATGTAGTTGACAAGCAGTGTTACATTAATTTCAGGTGTACAATATAGTATTTTGACAAGTTTATATATTATTATGTTGTTATGCTGCGCTCAAAATTGTAGCTACTGTCTGTCACCATATAGCACTATTACAATACCACTTACTATATTCCCTATGCTGTACTTTTTATCCCCATGACTTATTCATTCCATGGCTGGAAGCCTATAGTTGAGTCACAATCTTGTCATTAACCTCACTCCCAGTGCATCAACCTACAACTGGGAGGGAACTCACAACACCAAATTCTCCCTGAAGAGTAAAGGGCTGCAACCTTACATCTGGCACTTCAGTTTTTAAGACCTACACCCGAGAGACAAATTCCTGAAGCATCTAGCTATGAAAACCAATGGGGCTTGTGTCCATGAGACAGGCTATAGCAAACTGAGAAACAGTTCTTAATAGTTCCCAAGGACTCGCCCATCTCAGGGCCCAGCACAGAGACAAGCAACCAAAAAGTTCCCAGACTTTCTATGAAAGGGCTTATTTGCTGAACTTGTAGCATTAACCTGGGGACAGGCATCTAATTTAACATACATCTATAGGTCCACTGAGGTGGTTTCTGGGTACAGAGGCTAGTGGGTACTGTATTTGCATGCTTTCTGTCTTGCTCCAACTTGCAAGATTCTCTAGGAGTTTGTACACTCCTATAAGAAAACACAGGGTGTAAGCTTATTAACAGTCATCTTGGTGGGAGTGCCTGGGTGGCTCAGTTGGTTGAGCATCTGACTCTTGATTTCGGCTCAGGTCATGATCTTGTGGTTTATGGGATAGAGCTCCAAGTTGGGTTCTGTGCTGGCAGTGAGAAGCCTGCTTGGGATTCTCTTTCTCCCTATCTCTCTGCCCCTCCCCGACTTGCACTCTGTCTCTCTCCCAAAATAAATGAATAAACATTAAAAAATGGGTCTTGGTGATAATTTTTTTGGATTGGACGGCAAAAACAAAGGTAGCAATAGCAAAAATAAACAAGTGGGACTACAACAAATAATAGAACTTCTGAATAGCAAAAGAAACGATCAACAGAATGAAAAGACAACCTGTGGAATGGGAAAAAGTATACACAAACCACATATCTGGTGTGGGGCTAATATCCAAATACATAAAGAACTCATAAAACTCAATAGGAAGAAACTTTGATTAAAAACTGAGCAGAAAATCTGAATAGACATTTTTTCAAAGAAGACATATAGATGACCAACAGGTACACGGGATAGTGTTCAATATCACTAATGATCAGGAAAATGCAAATCAAAGCCACAGTGAAATACCACTTTGTACCACTTAGGATGACTATTATCAAAAAAGATCAGAAATAATAAGTGTTAGGAAAGATGTGGAAAAAGAGAACCTTCATATACTATTGTGGAATTATAGGCATACCTTGGACGCATTATGGGTTCAGTTCCAGACCAATGCAATAAAGCAAATCTGTGATAAAGCAATGAATCTGTGTTTTCCCAACAAATATAAAAGTTATGCTTACACTATACTGTAGTCTATTGAGTGTACAATAGTATTGTGTCTAAAAAATTATATGCATACCTTAGTTAAAAATACTTTATTACTGTAAAATGCTAACCATCATCTGAGTTTTCGGCAAGTCCTATCTTTTTGCTGGTGGAGTGGGTTGCCTTCATGTTAATCGCCGATGACTGAACAGGTTGCTGCTTGCTGAAGGTCAGTCGGGGTGGCTGTGGCAATTTCTTAAAATAAGACAACAACAGTTTACCAAGTATACTGGCTTTCCCTTCCATAAACTATTTCTCTGCACCTATTTGATAGCATTTTACCTACAGTAGAACTTCTTTCCAAAGTGGAGTCCATCCTCTCAAACACTGCCATTGTTTTGTCAACTAAGTTTATATAATATCCTAAATCCTTTGTTGTCATTTCAATAATCTTCACAGGATCTTCACCAGGAACAGATTCCATTTTAAGAAATCACTTTGTTACAGGTGATTAATAATACACTTTATCATGGTGAGCACTGAGTAATTTGTAGAATTGTTGAATCATATTGTATACCTGAAACTAATATAACACTATATACTAACTATACTTCAGTTAAAAAAAGGGAACGACTTTCTTTTCTCATCCATGAGAGAAACTCCTCATCTGTTAAAGTTTCATCATGAAATTGCAGCAATTTAGTCACATCTTCAGACTCCACTTCTAATCCTAGTTCTCTTGCTATTTCCATATCTGTGGTTACTTCCTCCACTGAAGCCTTGAACCCCTCAATATCAGCCATGAGGGTTGGAATCAACTTCTTCCACACTCCTGTTGATGTTGATATTTGGACCTCTTCCCATGAATCTCAAATGTTCTTAATGGTCTAGAATGGTGAATCCTTTCCAGAAGATTGATTGATTGATTGATTGATTGATTTATAAAGGGGAGTTGATTTAAAGTGGGGAGAGAGAGAGAATGAGGGGGGAGAGAGGCAGTGAGAGGGGGAAAATCCTAAGCAGGCTTTGAGCTGTCAGTGCAGAGCCCAACGCAAGACTTGAGCCCATGAACTGTGAGATCATGACCTGAGCCAAAATCAAGAGTCTGATGCTTAACAGACTGAGTCACCCATACACCCCATCCAGAAGATTTTCAAATTACTTTGCCCAGATCCATCACAGGAATTGCTGTCTATGGCAGCTATTGCCTTACAAAATATATTTTTTAAGTAATAAGACTTGTAAGTTGAAATTATTCCTTGATCCAAGGGCTGCAGAGTGGTTGTATTAGCAGAAATTCATGAAAACAACATGAATCTTGTATCTCTCCCATTAGAGCTCTTGGATGACCAGGTAAGTTGTCAATGAACAGACATATTTTGAAAGAAATCTTTTTTTTCTGAGGAGTGGGTCTCAACAGTGGGCTTAAAAGATTAAGTAAATCATGTTGTAAACAGATGTGCTGTCATCCAGGCTTTGTTGTTCCATTTACAGAGCACAGGCAGAGTCGATCTAGCATAATTAATTTTTAAGGCCACAGGGTTTTCAGAATGGTCAATGAGCATTGGCTTCAACTTAAAGTCACCAGCTGCATCAGTCCCTAACAAGAGAGTCAGTCTGTCCTTTGAAGCTTTGAAGCCAGGCACTGACTTCTCCCCTAGACTAGCTGTGAAAGTCCTTGATGGCATTGTCTTTTTCCAGTAGAAGGCTGTCCCATCTCCACTGAAAATCTGTTTGTTAGTGTAGCCACCCTCGTTAATGATCTTAGCTAGATCTTCTGGATAACCTGCTGCAAACTACCGCATCAACACTTGATGCTTCACCTTGCACTCTGATATTATGGGGACACCCTTTTTCTTTAAACTTCATGAACTAACCTCTGCTAGCTTTAAACTTTTCTTCTGCAGCTTCCTCACCTCTCTCAGTCTTGGTAGAATTGAAGAGAGTTAGGGTCCTGTTCTAGATTAGGCTTTGGCTTACGGTTGTGGCTGGTTTGCTCTTCTAGCCAGACCACGCAAACTTTCTCCATATTAGCAATAAGACAGTTTTGCTTTCTTATCTGTCATGTGTTTACTGGAGTGTTACTTTTAATTTCCTTCAAGAGCTTTTCCTTTGCATTCACAACTTGGCTAACTGTTTGGTGTAAGAGACCTAGCTTTCAGGCTATCTTGGCTTTTGACATGTTTTCCTCACTAAGCTTAATCATTTCTAGATTTTGATTTAAAGTGTGACTTTCCAGGGGCACCTGGGTGGCTTAGTTGGTTGAGCGTCCGACTTTCGCTCAGGTCATGATCTCGCGGTTCATGGGTTCGAGCCCCGCGTCGGGCTCTGTGCTGACTGCCAGCTCAGAGCCTGGAGCCTGTTTCAGTCTGTGACTCCCTCTCTCTCTGACCCTCCCCTGCTCACGCTGTCTCTCTCTCTCCTAGAAATAAATAAAACATTAAAAAAAAAAAAAGTTTAAAAAAAAGTGTGACTTTCCAGGGCACCTGAGAGGCTCAGTCAGTTAAGCACCCGACTTCTGCTCAGGTCATGATCTTGCAGTTCATGGGTTTGAGCCCCACTCTGAGCTGTCAGCACAGAGCCTGGAGCCTGATTTCAATTTTTTTCTCTCTCTCTCTCTGCCTCTCCCTTGCTCATGCTCTCTCTCTCTCAAAAATAAAAATCAGGGGTGCCTGGGTGGCTCAGTCAGTTAAACATCTGGCTTCAGCTCAGGTCATGATCTCACGGTTTGTGAGTTTGAGCCCCGTGTCAGGCTCTGTGCTGACAGCTCAGAGCCTGGAGCCTGCTTTGCATTCTGTGTCTCCCTCTCTCTGCCCCTCCCACACTCATGATCTGTTTCTCTGTCTCAATAAACATTAAAAAAGTTAAACATTTTTTTATAAAAATAAAAACATTAAAAACAAAATAAAATAAAAACTCTCCCTTTCACTTGAACACTTACAGGCCATTGCAGGATTATTAGCTGGCCTAATTTCAATATTGTTGTGTCTCCGGGAATAGGGAGGCCAGGCCAGAGGAGCAGAAGAGAGATGGGGAAACAGCCAGTAAGTAGAGCGGTCAGAACACATACATTTCGTCAGTTCTCCATCTTTTTTTTTTTTTAATGTTTATTTATTTTTGGGGGGAGGGGCAGAGAGAGACGAAGACAGAGAATCCCAAGTAGGCTCCATGTCCAATGCAGAGATGGATGCAGGGCTCTCAGTCTCATGATTGTGAGATCATGACCTGATCCAATATCAAGAGTTGGGTGCTTAATCAACTGAGCCACCCAAGCACCCCTTAAATTCCTTGTCTTTTGAGGAGGGCACTTGTTGGGATGAGCGCTGGGTGCTGTATGTAAGCCAACTTGACAATAAATTATATTTTTTAAAATGTACACACAAAAAAGTTCCCTGTCTTATATGGGTGCAATTCATGGTGCCTCAAAACCATTAAAACAGTATCATCAAGGTCCACTGATCACAGATCATGACAACAAATCATAATGAAAAAATTTGAAATACTGTGAGAATTACCAAAATGTGATACAGAGACAAGAAATGAGCAAATGCTGTTGGAAAAATGAGGCCAACAGATGTGCTCAACACAGCTTGCCACAAACCTTCATTTCTTAAAAAATGTACTATCCATAAATCATAATTAAGCAAAGTGGAATAAAACAAAGTATACCTGTACCAGTGAGTTGTACTCATTCATATGTTTTTAAGTGTTAATCAGCATCCTTTTATTTCAGCTTCAAGAGTGTCTATCATTTTTTGTAAGGCAGGTCTTACAAGAAAATGGAGATTCCTTCCCTCAGGTTTTGTTTGGGAAAGTCTTTCTCTTTCACTTCTGAAGAACAGCTTTGCTGGGTATAGCATTTTGTTGACAAATATATATATATATATATATATTGTGGGCAGAGGGAGAGAGAATCTTAAATAGGTTCCATGCCCAGCACAGAGCCTGATGCAGGGCTTGATCTCATGACCTTGAGATGCCAACCTGAGCCAAAATCAAGAGTCAGACATTCAATTGACTGAGCTACCCAGACACCCCTCAATATTATATATATATATATCTTCCTACCCTCTCCTGGCTTGCAAAGTTTCTGTTGAGAAATATATGAATAGTTTTACAGGGGGCAAACTTGAATGTGATGAATCCCTTTTCTCTTGTTCCATTATAGTCTTATTTGTCCTTGACTTTTGATAATTTAGTTGTAATAGATCTCTGTGTAGCCCTTCTTGGGTTCAACCTACTGGAAATCTTTTGGGTGTCATGAATCTGGATGTCCACCCATGTCTCTCCCCAAGGTTAGGAAGTTCTTCAGGCATTATTTCTTTAATTAAACCTTTTGCTCCTTTCTCTTTCTCTTCTTCTTCTGGGACTTCAATAATGAATAGATTGTTTCTCTTAATGGTATGCCATAATTCATATATACTTTTGTTTTCTTTGCTCCCCTGACTGGACACTTTCAAATGACCTTTTAGTTCACTGATTCTTCTGCTTGCTCAAATCTGTTGTTGAAGATCTCTTTGGAATTATTCAGTTCAGTCATTGTATCCTCTGGCTCTAGATTTCTGGCTTTGTTTTAATTTTTTTGATAATTTCTATGTTTTTGTTGATCTCATTTTTCTCATGCATTGTTTTCCTAATTTTAATTAATTGTCTATTTGTCCTTGTAGTTAATTATAAGAGAATTATTCTGAATTCTTTGTATGACAATTCACAGATCTCCATTTTTTAATGGCCAGTTATCAGAGCTTTATTAGTTTCATTTGGTGGTACATTTTCTTGATTATTCATGTTCCTTATGGCCTTATATTGGTGCCTGCACATTTGAGGAAGTATGCATCTCTTTCAGTCTTTACAGATTGACTTCAGTAGGCTAATCCCTTCAACAGATTGTTTTTCCAGAGACTCTGGGTGGGCGGTCTATGGGTATCTATGGTCAGGCTTGATGGTAAGAGTCTTTGATCTCTCAAATTTGGTGCCTTGATGAGCATGTGGGTGTTTGGGACCACAGTGTCCAGCCTGGTGGCTGGGTCAGTGGTGATGGGCCTAGAACGTCAGTCTGTGTGGAGAGACCTGTAACCTGGGTTCACAGGGGTCAATCAGGAACTAGAGAAGACTGGAGTGGGTGAAATATGTGAATCCACAGGGACTGGTCTGGTACTGAGAGGGGCTAGCCTGGAGTCTGGAGCCTTGGGAACTGACTTGGAAGTTAGTTCTCTTGGGGTTGGTTTATCACTGGGTGGGCTGGGATCCTAGATCTTTAAGAAACAGCTTCATGCTAGAGTAGACTAGGGGTCCAGAGCCAGGGGTGCTGACCTGGTGCTGAGGTTAGTTGAATTCCTGTACCCATGGTAGTTGGTGCTGGACCTGGCTGACAGCCTATGTTCATGGATCCTAGCCTGGAGCCTGGATTCACATGAGCCAAATGGGGACCTAGGATAACAGGAGCTGCCCAGCACTGAGATTTGCTTGGAATCTGGGTTAGTAGGATCCTGGTGCTCTAAGAGCTTCCTGTGGAAGTGGGAAGCAGTTGGTGATGGTTTGATCTGAGAGCCCGGGTTCATGGCAACCCAGTAGGAACCTGGTGCCATGGAAGCTACCTGGGGCCACTGGAGTGACCTGGGGCCACTGGAGCTGGTCAGTGCCTGAGTTGACTAAACCAGGGGCCTGGACATGCTGAAGCCAGCTGGCAGTGGGTTGGGTGAAGATCCTGGGATGGCTGGAGCCTTCTCGGAGCCTGGTGTGATGGAGGTAATGTGAATCTCTTTTCCAATCCCCATGATACATCTTGTCTTATTCTGTGCTTCACTTAGGTGCTGTAATCTATCACCTGGAATCCTTGGTTCTTGTGAAGAAATTTGATGTGCAGACAGCTCAAATTGATCTTGCCAGGGAGGGACAAAACTCCTATGCTTCCATTTTGCTGTCTTCACTCTCAAACTTTTTATGTTTATTGTATACTAATTTAAAGAACTATTATGAAAGATTCTAAGTGCACAAAACAAAATTGCTGTGCCATAGGCAAAAATAGAGAGGAGAAATCTAACTCTAAACAGAAGCCATGGTAAAGGAGAACTTTATTTTTCTGTAACAAAAATCCCTCCACAGGCTTGGACACCACAGCTGTAAGCTTCTAATTTAAGGACTCTTGGCAACTGTGTCTTTCCAACTAGGAGAGACATGTCCTATCAATATTTGGAGACCAAAAAAGTAAGATACAGGGTAAATAAAAATAGGACAGATTTTGATATCACTTACCCCATCCTTTTGCACGTAATTGAATCTTATTACTGCTCTTATTACAGTTGGACATCCTTTATCTCTACTAGATGTTTACTTCTCATTCTCTGCCCATCTGATTTGTTTATAACTTTAAGAATACTGGTTCCTCCTACCTAGAATGTCCCCCCAGACTCTCAGTATAATTCACTTTCTGTTAATAACCAGGGCTCTCACATTCAAACCCATTCAGATCAATAATAATTCCACTCTGTTAACAATTTGTGTAATTTATACTAATTTTCCAGTATAAACCCTATTAACAGTGGAAAATTTCATAGGCCCCACATGGTAATAGTTGTACTTCTAGATTTTTTTTTTACTGGGAACATTATGATATTCACTGATAAGTAAATTAGTAGGACCCCAGGAAATACCTTCATGGTCTTATAGGGTCCTGGATCTACAGATTAGAAAATGGTTTCAATGTTTATGTCATATATTTCTTTCTAGTGTTTTCCTGTGAAGATATAATTTCTCAGTTAGATTTTATGTCCATAAAAATGATAACTATAGTGTGGACTGTTCTATTACCTATATTCTCAGAATGGTATAGACACTTACTTATTTGCTGAACAAGGGAATAAATGACAATTCAACTTTCTTTCTTTCTTTCTTTCTTTCTTTCTTTCTTTCTTTCTTTCTTTCTTTCTTTTCTTTCTTTCTTTCTTTCTTTCTTTCTTGGAGAGAGAGAGAGAGCAAACATGCACACCCATATGTGCATGCACTCACAGTGAGAAGGAGGGTGGAGGGAAAGGGAGACAGAAAGAGAATCTTAAGCAGGCTCAATGCCCAGCATGGAACCCAACATGGGGCTTGATCTCACAACCCTGCAATCATGACCCTGAGATCATGACCTGAACTAAAATCAAGAATCGGGGTGCTTGGGTCACCGAGGCGGCTCAGTCAGTTAAGTGTCTGACTTTGGCTCAGATCATGATCTTGCAGTTCATGAGTTTGAACCCTGTGTTGGGCTCTGTGCTGACAGCTCAGAGCTTTGAGCCTGCTTCATATTCTCTCTCTCTCTCTCTCTCTCTCATTCTCTCTCTCTCTCAAATAAACATTATATATATAAAAAAGAATTGGATGCTTAATTGATTGAGCCACCTAAGTGCCCCTCAATTGAATTTGTTGTATTGCTATATAGCTATGTAGATAATAATACATTTAACTAGTCATGTTATATAGGCTAAAACACTTGATAACAGTTAACATAATAGGTAACTTGACAGACTTGAGGCAAGGCAGTCCTTGACAAGGCACCAGAATAAACTCCCACCAGTATTTTTTAAATTTTAAGAGGCATATAGGGGGTGCCTGGGTGGCTCAATCAGTTAAGTGTCTGACTTTGGCTCATGTCATGATCTCATCGGGCTCTGTGCTGACAGCTCAGAGCCTGGAGCCTGCTTTGCATTCTGTGTCTCCCTCTCGGCCCACCCCCTCCCCCCTTCATGCTCCCTCTCCCTCTCTCAAAAATAAATAAACATTTAAAAAAGAGGCATACAAATCACCTGGAAATTTTGTTGAAATGAAGAATCTGATTCAGTCGATGTGGAGAGAGACTGGAAAATTCAAGGACGATATTGCTGACCTGTGGACCACACTTTGAGTAGCAAGACCTGAATTCAGGAGACTTCATTTTCACAGCACCTAAATAGAGTTCTCTATTGAGAGATCGGGGGGGGAAATGTCAAGAATCAAATGCCAGTCTGGGTGGCGATATAGATTTAATGAACAGTTAACAGTGTTTTAGGTAACTGTCAAGATATCTAAGTATTGTCTTCTGATGATTTAATGACTTTATTTTCTCATTCTCTTTTGCACTCTTCTCTTCTATCCAGAGCTTTCTGCACTTTTTAGTCATAAAAAGACTAGCTTCTGAGATGCCATTTAGAAAATCATCACGTCTTGAAACCCAAATATACCCTTCTTACAGTGGCTAGCCTCATTTCTACTTTAAAATCTTCCAGTAAAATCAAACTCCTTTTTTACTGACAGCTGTTTAGGGTGCATGGGGCAGAGGAAAGCATTTAATTCATCTTGATCCTCTAGAGGTAATATATTCTCCTCTGGTTTAAGTCTCAATTAGATACTTCTTTACCATCTTTCCTGTTCACATTTATTTATAATTAGTATATCATATAAGATAATATCTGAAAACTTGGCAAGGGGAGGGGGTGTCTTTCCTCCACATTCACACAATATATTGTGGTTTACCCTGTGAACCTCACTTAATGCTTTATGTTGAAGTTTTCTGCCAATTGTGCATTTCCCCCAAAACATACCGTGCTATGCCATGCCATGCTAAATTATACCATACCGTACCATACAAGGAGAGAAATAGTTTTTATTTATTTTTGGATGTGCAGTTCATAGCACTGCGTAATTTTTGATGAAGGAAACAATATTATCTGCCACTATCTTGGCCATCTGTATACTTCTGAAAGCACTAAAGAAGTAATCAGAAACATCAAGAACATTCTTTAATCTTGTGGAATATTTTTCAATCAGAAAAAGAATGCACAGTAATAATGGAATAAAACCCTCTAGGAATTCACCTTGTACTCTGACCGCACTTCCTTGGCCTTTCTCCCAGACTTCTTTTTCTGCCACTAGCCCGCTCTCTAATATTGATGAATCCAGGGCTCTGTCCTTAATATCATTCTCTTCTCTCTCTTCTGTACTGTCTCCCTGCACAAGCTCATCCATTCATGATTGAAACTACAGTGATGACTCCTTTTTCTCCAGCCCAGACTCCCCTCTGGGCCTCAGGCTTCTATACTGTATTGACTACTAGATGGCTCCACTTGAACGTACTATGCATGTGTCAAATACAACACATTTAAAAGTTTATGAAGTCTTTTTTTTTTTTATTTGAGTTTTTCATTTTATATTTGACACACAATGTTACTTTAGTTTCAGGTGTACAACATAGTGATTTGACAAGTTTATACATTATGCTATATTCATCACAAGTGTGTTACCATCTGTCCTGTTATGTTGCAATTTAATATCATAGACTATATTTCTTATGCTGTGCTTTTCATTGTGACTTATGCATTCCATAACTGGAGGTCTGTATCTCCTTCTCCCCTTTACCCATTATGCCCAAATCCCCCTAACCTCCTCCTTTCTGGTAACCATTGGTCTGCTCTCTGTACTTATAACTCTGATTCTGCTTTTCTGTTTATTCATTTGTTTTGTTGTTGTTGTTTTGTTTAGATTCCAGTTATGAGTGGATGCATATGGTATTTGTCTGTCTTTGTCTGACTTATTTCTTAGCATAATACCCTCTCTGGGTCCATCCATGTTATCTCAAATGGCACAATCTCATCCTTTTTTATGGCTGTGTAACATTCCATTGTATGTATGTGTGCGTGTGTGTGCGTGTGTGTCTGTGTGTCTGTGTACATTTTCTTTATCCATTTGTTTATTGATGGACACATAGGTTGCAAAACAAGCCCTTTTCTAGCCTCCAAGGTGACTAGTGAAATCAAATCCTTTCTGATTATATTCCAGGAGACAATCTAATTTTTTTTATCTCCATCACTTCTAATATCTAATCAATCATCAAGTCTTATTGGTTAGATTCTTAAGTATTAAAAAAATGTGTCACTTTTCTTTACATCCACCACAACTAACCATTTTTAATCCAGACATGCATAATTTCTTTCCTGGGCTTTTGCAATATCCTCTTTACTCTTCTCACTACCTTCAGGGCTAACATTCAAATTCATCTTCTACCGCGCTTCCAGAATCATCTTCTAAAGCACAACTCTGATTTTGTCACAACATAGCTTTAAATCATGAACGTCTCACTAGCTATGAGGTAGCATCCAAATGGCTTGGTCTTCTTTAGCTCTAGCCCATTCTTTTCAATTTACATTTCTTTCTCTCTTTATAGATCTCCATTTTTATATGCCTCCATTCCTACTATGCACTATTCTGTCTACCTCCAATCCTCCTGTAGCCACTTGAGAAATATTCGTACGTCAAGACTCTGCTTAACTACCATCTTTCTGTGGAGGAATAACTGGATCTCCTGTTCTCAGCCCCCTTTGTAGGCAGTTCTTTTCTAACCCCAATGCTGTAAATTTACTTGTCTGTTTCCCAAACAGGACCATGAGTACTTAGGCCCCACAGGCTGCCTTGTACGGAAGATCCACTTAATAAATCTCTCAAAAGTATTCAGTTATTGTTTGTTTAGTCATTTTAGCATCTTACTTCCTGCATCACGTTTAAGGTGTCTTGTCTGCCTTTGGTAAAAAATAAATCTGTCTCATTCCACTGTATACATTCATCAAAGGAGCTCCTGTATAAGAACCCAGAGTAGAATTTTTTCCCTCAGATATAAATATCAAGAACAGCTGTGTATCTCTTAAATAATTGGTTTGTGAACACACAACTATTTGCAGTACGGTGAATCTTCAAGCTCATTGTATTTCTCTCTTTGCTCTTGTACTGAAAGAAATTCAGAGTCAAATGTATGGCTCACCTCAGAAACTGGTATGGAAACTTATACAAAGGGTTTTTATAAACTAATCTTTGCTCTTTTTTTCATTTTCAACATTTGTTTTCTCTATTACCAGATGTTCTCATCATTTTATCTTTTCTACACTTATATGTTTTTGTAAGAGAAAGTGACTTTTAAGATGTACAAAATTAATAAGTGATATGGAATTATTTTGCCCAAATTGAAATCCCTCTCCTGTTTTGTTTTGTTTTGTTTTTAACATTTTTATTTATATTTGGGAGACAGACAGAGACAGAGACAGAGAGTGAGCAGGGAAGGGGGAGAGAGAGAGGGGCACAGAATACAAAGCAGGCTCCAAGCTGTCAGCACAGAGCCCACAGTGGGGCTCCAACCCACCAACCATGAGATCATGACCTGAGCCAAAGTCAGAAGCTCAATGCTCAGCAGACAGACCCACCCAGATGCCCCATTCCTCTCCTGTTTCTGCTACTCAAACTTCTTTATTCTAATTCTGGTTGAAAAAGTACTGTGAACAATATAATTAATTTCTAACTTCTTTTAATTATCCATAATGAATGTTTACTTTAAGCCTTAATCATTAAACTATCTTCAGAATATTGGTTTTCCCCAGCTAAGAAAAATTTACACTTTAAGATAAATTTCTTGAGATAAATTTATCATTTCTATGTAAGTATAGCTTGTTTTCTTTAGTTTCTATGTGCCCATCATTGTCATTAAGATTGCTATATTTTAGGGGCGCCTGGGTGGCTTAGTCGGTTAAGCGTCCGACTTTCACTTAGGTCATGATCTCGCGGTTTGTGGGTTCGAGCCCCGCGTCGGGCTCTGTGCTGACTGCCAGCTCAGAGCCTGGAGCCTGTTTCAGTCTGTGACTCCCTCTCTCTCTGACCCTCCCCTGCTCACGCTGTCTCTCTCTCTCTCTCTCTCTCTCCTAGAAATAAATAAAACATTTAAAAAAAAAAAAGATTGCTATATTTTACTGGGTTACAACAATCATTGCTGTGAAATACAAAAAAATCTTTCTTTTTCTTTTCTTAAAGTTTATTTATTTCTCTTGAGAGAGAGAGAGAGAGACAGTGAGTAAGTGAGGAGTGAGTGAGGACAGGGCAGAGAGAGAATTCCAAGCAGTCTCCACACTGTCAGCATGGAGCCTGGCATGAGCCTCGAACCCACAAACCATGAGATTATGACCTGAGCCTAAATCAAAAGTCAAACACTTAACTGACTAAGCCACCCAGGCATCCCTCAAAAAACTTTCTAGAGTCAGATACTTTTGCATAAAATTAAAAGATATGACTTTAGTGGTAGTTACACTGAATATTCACTTTATAATAATTAGTAAAGTCATACCTATATTTTATATGCATTTTTCTAAATGTATTATACTTCACAATTTTAAAAGTTTTTCAGAACTAATATTACTCAAAGCCTAGGAAGGTATTATATAATTATAGGTCTAACCCTATGGAGGTAAATAAACAAAGGTTGTACAAAATAGTATTTTTAAAGATATGAGAGGATTGGAGAGCTACAAAGGCATAGGTGAATTCCTGGACCAAAAGCCAAGAGACAAAGAAAGTTTAGAAAGGAAAGCCTATTTGGACCACTTTCCTCTAGGGACATCAGTTAATTCTACCAGAGATGGTTCAGAAGCTGAGAAGCTAAGCTGGGCTTTCAATAGTGTCGCAAATTTAGGAGGATAAAAATTGGAGTACAGAACCTGCCAAGGAGAAGGGGTTCCTGGCAAAGCCTCAGGTTTTCAGTGGACAACCCTAAGAGCTACTTCTAAGCACTTAGGGTAAACTGAAATTGCTCAGCTCTCACAAAGTCTGGAGCTTAGTGTCAACCATTCAATCTCTGGTCAGATTAAGAAGATCTAGTATTATTTTGTTCCAAGTTACCTGCCAGAAACAGATATAAATCTTATTTGAGATGAAGTAATTATTTTAGGCATCAAATTACCTCTATATTTTTTCAAATACAACAACTGGCACTGACTTTAAAAGATTAGGTGCACAGAGACAAAACTGTGGGATTGAAACCAAGGGAAAGGGGCACAGGAGCGGCTCAGTTGGTTAGGAGTCCAACTCCTGATTTCGGCTCAGGTCATGATCTCACAGTTCATAGGTTCAAGTCCCACCTCCAGCTCTCTCCCACT